TGCTGGCACAGGGGCTCTGCTGCATGCACGTGGACCTCCACCTCCTGGCTCTCTCCAGTCTGTCTGCACACCACCCGCACGCAGCTCCAAGGGGCACGGTGAGGGGCAGCGTAAAAGCCAGGCTGGTGTTTCGGCACCGGGCCACGAGCCCCCTTGCTCCTGATATCAATGCCATCCTCTGCTAGACGGGGAGCATGTGCCGGTTCGAGATGCCCTAGCTAGGTGTGCCCGGTGGGGATCCGCATAGGGCTGAAATGCCACGGGACCACCCTGACTCCACTCCTACTTTGCAGCTTGCTGCCCCAAGAGATTCCTGCCACCCCGCAGCAGTCCTGACCACGTGCTTCCAGCTCACGTGAGAAGACGTGTGGTGGCCAGGCCACGCTTGGGGACGTGGGTTGGAGCAGAGGATTCCCACAGGATCCTTGCAGCCCCGGTGCCTCCAAGATGCCTGAGCTGCTGCTGGGGGAGCTCAGCACTGGTTGCACTGGGCCAGGAGCTGCAGCACGACCCACATTCTCCCCACAAAACCAGGCCAGGCTGCTCCCCCGACTCCTCTGGGGTGCACCTGAGCACTGGCCCCGGCTCCTCCTCTGCTCCCAGAGCACAAGGCAGGTCACACATTTGCAGGACGTGTTTGCAGGAGGCACCAGGCTGCCCATCAGCGGGGGGACGTGGCACGAGGCTCTGCCAGGCTGAGCCGCATTTTCCCCTGGCCTGTTATGGGGTGAAGGACGTTCTGCTCCAGCCTTTTCTCCCTCCATTTTTCTTTCCCTTTCCTGGTTGCTCCTTTTTTCCTGGGTAGCAAAAGCAAATCTTGGATTCCAACTATTTGAGATGGTCTAATAAAAGAAATCAGATTTACCCAAAGCACCTTGCCTGACCTTGGGTTTGTCTTCTCCTGCCTTTCTTCCTGGGATCCTACAGAGGCGGGAGCCCACCTGGAGCGTATCAAAAGAATATTTTTTTAGGACAATGGCAGCTAATTGGAGTTTATTGCCATTCAACGACTGTGAGTCAAAGCCTGGGGCAGGGCGGTGTGGGGGATGGAGCCCTTGGCAGCCCTCTCCAGCCCCTTGGGCAGCACAGGCCATAGCAGGGCAGGCTCAGAGCAGCCCCTCTGCTCCACAGGGCAGTCCCAGGGGCGCGGGGGAGATGTCCCAGCTGGCTGACATCCTCCCGGAGGTTGCATTAGCTTGCAAACCACTGTGGATGAGCAGCAATTCATCTCCTTGCCCCAGTGAAAGCAATGGGGCTCTGTGCTCCTCGGATAAGCCTCCGATAGGATCCATTCCCCAGCCTCTCCGCAGCCTCAGGGAGGCCCAGCACTCTCCGCCATCTCTTCCCCTGGCCATGGGGTCACCTCGTCGTGTGCTGTTGAACACGGGCCGCACGCTAGTCCGGAGGCGGTTGTATTCTCCTGCTGGGGGAATGGGCCGGCTCCTCCGCTTCCCACGGAGGCACAGCTCTCGCTGAAGCCCAGGGCTGTCCTGCCCAAAGAAAGGCAGCGGGGATCGGGACCATCCCATGTTGGAAGTCCTTCGGGATAGGATGTGCCTTGGAAGCACAGGAGAATACAGTCCTGCTTGTTGTCTGTCATTTAAACAGGCTCCCCAGAGAGGCGGTGCACTCTCCATCCTTGGAGGTTTTGAAGAGCCGGGTAGACAAAGCCTTGGCTGGCATGATGGAGTTGGGGCTGGTCCTGCTTGGAGCAGGGGTTGGACTGGATGTGACCGCCTGAGGGGTTCATTGCAGCCTCAAGCTACCGAGTGACCTGGCCGGCATCCGCAGACGGGGAGCTGACAACACCGTGGTCGCCTACAACCCTGCCTACGGGTCTCATTGCCCTCCCCCA